GGGGGGCGCGCTGGAGAAAGGCAAAAAGCCATGGAGAGAGGCAAAAGCTCCAAGGGAAGCCACCTTGGAGCTTGCTGGACAGCTCTAGAGGCGGGTGTAAGCTGGGACGGACGGCTTGGGGGCAAATCCATGAAAAGAGACCAAAAAACCCTCCTCAAAATAGCTGAGGGAACGAGAAGAGACACCGAGGGGGCAGGGAGAGAGAGACACGTTTAGTCCCCTGGCAAGCACTGAAGTATAGATGTTTTCATTGAGAAATATGAGTAAACTCCACAAATTATGGTAGCATTTCACTGAGAAGTTAACAGATTTTGGCATTTTTTAAATAAAAAAAGCAACCAGGTAGTGCGCTGGTCTGAAGTTGGATTTAGACCGCAGAGGCATCGAAGAACGAAGCGCTGGTGGCGGGACATCCCCAGCAGCTCGGTCTGCCCGCTCCTGGGACAGCCCTGCTTCACCAGCCGCTCCTGTGGGACACATTTCTGGGCAAGAAACGGCCAGAAATTGTCAGTACGGAAGCAGACCAGGAGTTAAAAATATCAATGAAGTAAACCAGCAAAGTAGAAAATTCTGCTGTCTTGGAGAAGTGGAGAAAGAGCCGAGGGGGAAGAGGTTGCCCCTCCAGTGCAGAACAAGCGATCCTCTTGGCTTTGGCTTTCCCTGGCACTGACAGAAATTCCGGTGATGGGGGGAAGAGAACCGGCGATTGCCCGGTTATGAAGATACCCGTCGTTCTGATTTGGGACAATTAAATGAACTTGGCGATAATGAACTTGGCGATAATGACCAGATAATGCTCGCACTGGGACTGTGTTGACAAGCGGTTAGTATCTAGCAATGGTTATTATGGCACCCGATAAATTACTTTATGTAATACACGTTACATCAATAAAATATGTTTTTGTCTTTGCAGCTGTTTAAATGCAGATTTGCGCATTCTACAAAGAAGGAAGGAAAGGCCAAGTAAAAGCACAGACTTTAAAGTACAATTAATCTGCCCTTATTTTTTTTTTAAGTAATGTTTTTTACATGCCACTAACTTTTGGAAGATACGGATTTATGTTTAAAAATGCAAAATAAATGCATGCAATGTTAGCTTAATATTCATTTGTTTCACAAATTACGAAAAATGGTTCTAAAAATTTTAGATATTCCTCTGCAATCTCCCTTAATCTAACGCATTTTTGAAAGATGTATTTAAAATAGCACTCAAAACTGTCTTCTGGTGCTTTTTGAATGATGCAATGAATTTACAGCTAACAGGAAACACTTCTTCCCATACGAGGGAAATAGAATAGCAGAAGTTAGACTATTCACAAATACCATGAAATCTTTGTTACCAGATACAGGAATGTTGCAGAGGTCCTCGGTATTATATAAAGGCAAAAATGTCTCTCGAAGCGTGGAATCCTAATGTGCTTCTGGGACTATACCTGGAAAATTTACTGCACTTTATTCTCTGTGAATATTCTACCACAGAAACCATCTTGCATTTGGGGATGTCTCCTGCCACTTGAAATTTGGGAAACTCAAATATAGGGGATGTATGGGAGGACATGAGCCTGCGGAGGAGAGCTGTACCACCACGGAATGTTACCTTCACTTAACTTTCTGTAGTCTGAGAGAGCTTGTGTAACAAAGCTGTTTATTTCTACGACATTTAGATGAGAACATCTGTTTATAAACACACACTCAGATGCTTAATTACAGCTGGTTTTGCGCAGTAATGGGTAGGACATTCCTTTTCTAATGAATAATTCCATATCTTAAGATCATCTTTTATCCCAAAGGACCCGATTTTAGATTGCTCTACAGAAGTTATTCACCAGCATCAGCCAGGGACATCGTACAACAGTGCAAAACAGCGAGCAGAGGACATCTTACAGGCTTTTCGTGCCGGGAATACTGAGGCAGGCCAGGGCGCAATACGTGCACAAGT